TTAGAGCTTTTTTGTACAACAAATTCAAATATTCTAAAATTAATGAAGGAGATTGAAGGGTATAATGTTTTTGAACCAAATGAATATAATATAAATTTAGAATAATTTTAAAATATTTTTAAACGCAATTAATTGTAAATTAATAGTAAAATAATGCAATTGGCTAAGTGCTACATTACAGTACTTAATTAGTTATAACTTTATAATAATAAAAGTAAAAATAAATGTATTAATTTTTAGTGAAGACATTCAAACACTCTTATCTTCGTACAATAGGTCGGTTACTATATGAAAATATTTTTTAATCTCTTCCAACTAAATTAGATTTATAATTTTGTTAGTAGATTTCTTATAATAAGCGTTAAGTTTGAAAATAATTACAGTGAAAAGTATATGCTTCCATTTATCCTTTCTACAATTAAATATTCAAATAGACCACAAAAAATTGCATTACGATTGTAATTGTAAGTTAGTTAAGATGTGAACATTATTTTAAGTATTTGCTTATGTAGCTCCATCAAATGTGGCAACTCCTTAATATGAATCGGCATTAAATGTCAGCTTCATTTATCAAATATTACCATTTAATTTTTGTTTGGCATGCAAAAAGTAGAGCAACTTTCAAACTAAGAAAATCCAATTAATAATATCAAATTTCAAGTAGTCATCATATACACCTTGTGGAGCAGATTTTGTAGATCTATCAAAATCAATTTCCTACTTATTTAATTGATCGTTGGAGTGTGCCAAAACAAGCACATTACCACGATTAAAATTACAAAATTAAATGGAAAACCATTCACTAAGTTTAGTCAAGTAAATGTTTGCATAATTAAATATTTAGAGTTCGTATAGTATTTTTCAAGTAATAACTATTGATTTGTTTTTGCTGTTGATAAAATATTTTCAAGTTAATTTGTTTAAATTAATTGACTAATCTTATTCTATGGTAAGTTAAAGCTTAAAAAATTAATGATTGGTAAATTTAATACCGCTCCAATAGTATTATGATACAGTTCTATGTTGCCCTCACTGTACACTCTGTGACATTTGTTGTCAACAAAATGTTACAAATAGAGTAAGAAACTCAAGAAAATATATGATTACAATTCGGTAATCTCTTGAAGATATTTTTGTTATTAATAGTGGTACCAATGCTCATCCCGATAGCAAGACAGACTATATAAAAGCTGTTGAAAGATATCGGAAAGGTTTTTTTTTCTATTTCATAATCGTTTTATTAAGCGAGTTATACTTAAAGAAATAGTCGAAAGGATCACATTTGATCTTGTATTGGTATTTTTCCCCTTGAATTGAAAAAAATAACTGAGAATTTGATAGAATCATAACAACTCTTAAATAAGCCATATCGATATCGATGGGTAGTGTCAAACGTGAATACTTTCTAGTCGATAAAATATATAGGCGAAGAAAGTCGGTGAACTGAGTTCATAATTGCGGGATAAGATAATGGCTCTGAAGATTAATAAAATTGGGCTTGATTGATAAAAACACATAGTCTATGTTTAGAGATTTTCGTATTTCAAATTCACAGAATAATAAATGCATCGCCAATTGAAGAGATTTTTTTTTATGTTGCAGTCTTTAGGGATACTTCTTAAATAATAATTATTATTGATTAAAAGTCAATTTGAAAATAGCATGGCCTTGGAGAATTCGAATGTCTAATTGACAAAAAACAGTCTGATGGACAGAGTGAATGTTGACCACAACATTTCACATAAAAGATTCAATGTAATCCTAAAGTTATCAAGCCCTTTCATTTGAACAGATTTTAAAAAATTGAGAAGATGGGAAGATATCATTTGAGAGTGCTTTAAAGCTCTAAGGTACGGAGAGCAGATATGATATCAAAAATGATATCAAAAAACGACTAACATATAGTATACCAACAAGTAGTATTGTATTTATAAATTAGAATTACTGTTACGAGTTATTATTGATTGGATTATTGATAGATTGAGGGAAAGATAATGACAATGTTAGAAAAGCAAGATGAAAGAGTTTAAGAGGTACTGACTTGGTTGGCAACTATGCATCCAAAATATGAGCTACTCCAAATGATTATTAAGGGAAAAATTGGAGAGAAACGTGGTATTGGTAGGAAACAATTTTCATGACTGAGAAACATCCGTCAATAAACTTCAATACGAGAGGTCAGCCTTATAGATGCAGAGAACAATATGCAGAAATCATAAGAAATTTATAATTGTGTTTGTCAAAGGTTAATTTAAACAATGTAAATATGTTATTTGATCACAAATACTATATTCGAAATCGAATTGGATAATAAAGAAGAACAGTTATATTTAGCGACGAGAGAAGACGGAGTGTATCACATGCTAATAAAAAAATGTATGGAAACACATTTATCGATAATATATTAGAGTTTAGATTAGTCGTTAGGTCTATATGATAATTGCAATTACTGCAACAGTAATTTTGTGTTATATTAATGGCAAAAATTTATTTGTATGTGATATGTATGTCTATAAAATCTCCCACTCTATCTCTGTCTTAGTATAAAATTTTAGTGTGATAGAATACGCACAATCTTGTGTATTCTTAAATATAATAAATTGAATTTGTTTCTAACCGCAGAACAAGAACGGACTTTTATGTTTGTTTGAATATACATTCTGCTCAAAAAGTATCCGGGTTTTGTTGTTTGTTAACAACTCCTTAAATAATATACCTTTTTCAAAAATTTTTTGTTATGTTGGTGTACCCTTTCTTGACATATGGTACAAATTTGAGCGCCATCTGTCAATTAGTTTGTTTACAGCAGCTGTTAATGTGAAACTACCTCAAGTGCATTTAGCGATTTTTACTATGGAAAATTCTTGTTGTACGCGATTTTTTGACCAAACACGGCACCACTGTCATCGCTAAGATACCATATTCGCCAGATCTGAATCCGTGCGACTTTTTCCTGTTCCCGAAACTCAAATGGCACCTTCGTGGTAAGCGTTTTGAGTCGATTGATTCGGTAAAAGAGAATTCGCTGAAGGAACTAAAAGGAACATACCTGCACGGGCCTACGAAAAATGTACGGAAGATTGAGTTAAGCTTTGGAATATGTGTATCGCTTCAGAAGGAGCATATTTTGAAGGAGATAAAATAAATTTGGCATAAAATTTAAATTTGTATGTTTTATTTATAAAATCCGAGTACTTTTTGAGCAGAAGGTATATCAGTATATTATTAGCACTTATGTTACAAAAAAAAATTCAGAGTAATACAATAAAGCCATTTACCTATTTGGTTTTTAAAATTTGTGATACATAAAAAACTTAATAAATGAAGAATACTTTTATATATCTATTTAGAGTAGATTGCATATGTATCTGATTTATAGCGACATCTCATAGCCGTGAGAGTCTTCCAAATTATACGTGGAACTGCTTTTACGATTGTATGAGTAAAATTGATAAATTTTGTTCCTTCATGAGATATTTTAATTCTTAAATAATTAAAAATAGTATGAGTTTATGAATCATCTATTAGCACACATATACATTAGTGCTTAATACATTAGTGCTTTTTATGGTTTTATATAGAATACGTCCTTTATAATATATTTATTTTAAGTCAATATATTTATATATTCCCGAAGTACTTGTATGGAATATCTCAAGTATTCATTACTTTCAGATTCAAAATCCATTTGTGAATCCACATACACACACGTTCACAATTCTAATTGAGCAATAAAAATATAATCATTTTTTTGTGTTAATCACTGCAATAGTCGTAAATAAAAGCGAACAGTTCAATAAAGAACTATATGTATATATCTTAGCCTACGACTCGGCTTTGGTACGACAAAGTAGTCGTAATGGTAATGCGTTGTTTCTTTTCATTAAAAGCGCCAGATACTTAGATAGGCAAATTTTAAGCGCTTGTCTTAATTGCTGTAATGTATGTACCGTAATGTATGTATATGTAATGTATGTGGTATGTAAATAAACAAAAGAAAGTGCAGCACCGCAAAACCACTAAGAAAGTAAACATTAGACGCCCACATAAAACGCGCCAGGCTATGCCGCCACAAAACAGCGAGGTGAAAAATTAAGGCATGTCAACCGCAAAGCTGATGATGCTATGTTAGTGGCGTTGGTCAATGTGGTGCCGCGGTGGGAGCGCTGTCTATGTTGGTTAAAAATATAGTCCGGTATGTGCGAGTACAGACAAAGATAAACTCTTTTTGGATACTCGTATTTTTATCTCCGGTTTGGCAGTATGCAGCGGCATCTATCTGTCAACGTGGCATTTGCCGTACACGTGCCCGTGTGCACAGTTTGAGATCGATTGCTTTGTGCTTCTGCGCTGTAGATAGGCAGCAAATGCAGCACATCCAGCTAGGCATTGCTTGCATACTCTGCACAAAATCGCGTGTTGATATGGCCTGTGTGCTTTTTAGTACTTTTTAGTACAGTACTTTTTATTTGCTTTGGTACTACATATGTTATATATCGGAATTTTTGGCATACTAAGTTTGTCACAAAGTATGACGAAAAGAGGAATACTCTTTTAAGTATGTATTAAATGTTCGCTATAAATTTTTTGTGGTGCTCTTTGTAAGTTACATGTAAAAATTATTCCATTGTATCTCTAATATCTATCTTCATATATTCGTTTTCAGGAAAAAAATAGACATCTTTGTAAGTGTAGCGCATTTGGTGTACTCGCTATGAATCGAAAAAATTTAAACTCGGCTGTCTCGTTTGCATTTCAAATACCAGTTTTCGATTGATCTATTTTTCGTTTTTTGTGGATTTATAGAGTCTTGCGTTGGCGTGTAAGTTGCTATACTGCATTTATGTCTCAGTAGAATTTCGCAAGGAAAAGCATGCCATGCGGACGCTGCACATTTGCTATCAAATAAAATGCGCATACCGCGCGCATTCAAGCGGCAAACTGCAAGGCCGCTTTTTGATATCAATTTTTTTTGTCCTCCTCGGACGCGACAATGTTTCTTTATGATTTTCCCATTTCTCCTCTAATTTAACTTAACGACATTTTCTCAGCTGAGGGCGTGTATTGTCCGCATGCCGGACTAGCGCTTAATTTGCTGTTATTTTTTGTTGAAATCCATTTGGATGCTGAAGCGCAAGCTGTACATTACGCCAGTGAGGACCACCCAAAAGTACTGCCTGCTCCAATTCTTTTTTTTTTTTTTTTGGATTTTTGATCATTTGGAAAATGTATTCTGTGTTTTTGTTTTGTTTTGCGTTGTCAACTTGGAATTGGCTCAGTGCTTTGATCGCTCTATACATGTTGAGATCACAATGGAAAAATTGAAGCACGCGCATTTGATGTATCTGCCATGTAAAATCGAGGTACAATTTTTATGTTTTTTTACAACAGTTTTCAGTACGTAAATATTTGCCGACACAAATCGTGCCGAATTCAACTCCCACGCATTGGCGCTTTTTTCTGGATTGAAAGCGAAAAAATTATGCTTAACTGATGCCCCACAGACCCATTAAATAAAATAGTTAAACTGTTTGTATGCGTCAGCTGAGGAATTTCAAATCTATCAATTTATCAGTGACAATCTACATACATGCAGAAAAATGTAAAAAACTTATTTCCTATATTAATTGTTTTCTTTTTGTTGGAATTTTCCAAGTTGTAAATTTAGTAACTGAAAGTCTAATACATAATTTGTAGTAAAATAGTTGCCAGATGTCAACGTAAATGGAAAGTTTAATATTTTTATGTAACATATTTGATATATTGGTTAATATACGACAATATATCAAATTTTTTTTATTTACTTTCATATAAGGTTCCTATGAGAGCATTTAGGATTATTTCATTCATAAAGAAAAATATTCAATGCTACATAATATACTTAAGATATTACACAGCAAACGCTAAAATAGCAAAATTTGATAGATATGTGCTCTGAACGGTGAGATCTGTAAAATAAATCAGAGTATTGATCGACAATGATAACATTCAGTTTAATGTTTGCGATTTATGTATTTAGATCTATTCGTGGAAGATTATGATAATGGAAATTTTATTAGAAACTTTCAAAATTCCTAGTGTCATAGCAATACTTGTAGACTGACAAGCTAACCCATAGTTCTACCGGAACACCTTCTGCTCAAAAAGTACTTCTGCGGATTTTGCAAATAAAACACACAAATTTAAATTTTATACCAAATTTATTTTATTTCCTTCAAAATATGCTTCTTCTGAAGCGATACACATATTCCAGCGCTTAACCCAATCTTTCATGCATTTTTCGTAGGCCCGTGCAGGTATGGCTTTTAGTTCCTTCAGCGAATTCTCTTTTACCGATTCAATCGACTCAAAACGCTTACCACGAAGGGGCAATTTGAGTTACGGCGCCAGATCTGGCGAATATGGTACCTTAGCGATGACAGTGGTGCCGTGTTTAGTCAAAAAATCGCGTACAACAAGAATTTTCCATAGTAAAAATCGCTAAATGTACTTGAGGTAGTCTCACATTAACAGCTGCTGTAAACAAACTAATTGACAGATGGCGCTCAAATTTGTACCATATGTCAAGAAAGGGTGCACCAACATAACAAAAAATTTTTGAAAAAGGTATATTACTTAAGGAGTTGTTAACAAACAACAAAATACTTTTTGAGCAGAAGGTATTAAGGTTTTCGTTTAGGTTTACTAGGATAATCCGTAATTTTGAGGAATTTAGGGTTTTTACAGAGTAAAAACAAGTTATTGATCTAAGCTCGTTATATAATTTTAGCTTTGTTCTGGATTGTTATACTCAAAGAAATCTGTGATCAATTATGTAGTTTACTGTAAACACAGAGAACATCAATTTGTTTTAACTTTTTAATTTGTGTTAATAACTATTTTCTTTATCAGAATTTATAATATTAGAACAAATTTTCTTAAAAAATGAAGGGAACAGTACTTTCTCATTAAATTATCGATGAGTGTCAAAGCAAAAGGATGGTTCTGAGAACTGTAAATTGGAACCTGAATTGAAAATGATACTAATAAA